TTTCACAGCTATGAAGCTGTTCAAATCATTGCTCGACTTCGACCAGCTCGCAAGAAGGGTTGGGGAGAAGACGAGTTGAAAAAACTTACGTTTCACAGCTATGAAGCTGTTCAAATCATTGCTCGACTTCGACCAGCTCGCAAGAAGGGTTGGGGAGAAGACGAGTTGAAAAACTTACGTTTCACAGCTATGAAGCTGTTCAAATCATTGCTCGACTTCGACCAGCTCGCAAGAAGGGTTGGGGAGAAGATACACAGGAAACAACAGCAAAATAATTTGAAACACAACCAACACAAGCAATGAAAGAAAAAGAGGGGATTATATTGATATGAAGATTCATTACACTAGCAGTCGTCTCGACCTTTACATAACTTGAAAATAGGTCGAGAACGACAGACAAAAAACAAACAAAACAAACAAAGCGAACTTAGGATTCGGCATCGGATTTTTCCGCCTCGCCATCGTCCTCAGCAGCGATGGTTTGAGTCTTCTCGGCATCACCACCACCAGCCTCGTCGCTCGACTTCTCCGCCCTCTCAACCACTTCATCTCCGACCGGCTCCTCACACTCCTCGGCATCAGAGGACCCCACGTGATCCGCCCCATTTGGCCCGACTAGTTCGGTCAGACCAGCCAAAGGAGCGGGGGGAACCTCGAGCCGACCACCCAACCCAGCCTTGCGAATGGCTCTCGCCTCGAGGCCAACCCACCATGGGTGATCCGCGGGGAGAGTCGAATCGCCCCTATAGCCGTCAGGATAAGGAAGGGTCTTCTTGACTGTTTCACGGTCGAGCTTGCCCTCGCACTCAGTACCCTCCACAGCCTTCTCCCAGGCGTCGAATGTATAATTGAAGTACTGGAGAGTCGCAGGGCAGAACTTGTCAAGAAAGGCGGGGGAATTGCAGAAGAGATTCACAGCCTCTTGACGATAATGCTCGAGGAACACAGAACCCATGGGCGACTTGAGAAAGGTCCTGCGTCCCTCGAGGATCCCCGCCTCTCTCTCGACCATGGCGTCATAAGCCGACTTCGCCAGGTCAGCTTGAAGCTGGTCGACCTTGGAGAGGGCGGCGGCTTTCTCGGTCTTGAGTTTAGCAACGAGGGCGTTAGCGGCGAGGAGGTCATCATCTTTCTTCTGGACCTCGAGAAGCAGATCCTCGTACTTCTTCTTGTAAGCACGGATGTCGGAGTCGGGCGAGGCAGTGTCCTCGAGAAGAGATGGCATAATAAAAGCCATGAACTGAGAAGAACCGCGAGTTAACAAAGTTAGAGGAAATTAAAAACTAAAGTAAAAATAATCGAATTGAATGCAAAGATAGTTACCCGGGAGAGACAAAAGAGCGCACGACTAGCACGGTCATAGGGATCACGGTCGGCGCGGTCCTTGTCGGCGGCAGGAATGACGGAGTCGAAATATTTGGCGATTTCGTGCGGATGAGGATGATCCCAAAGTCGGGAGGGCCTCTCGAGGGTTACCGTCTCGAGTTGTCCGGGAGGAGGAGGAGCTTGCTCGACTGCCTTGCCCTTGTCTTTCTTCTGGCGCTTGAGCGAGCCAGGGACAAGGGTGACGTCGCCTGCATCTTGGACCCGCTTTCGGGAAATCGAGCCCGAAGCCTTCTTCTGACTCCCCGAAGGCGGGGGCGCGACCTTCGACTTCTTTGCGGCAGTCATCTCGACTGCCGCCTCTCCTGCACCAGATCCCGAGACGAAGTCGGGCTTCTTCGGAGGGGTGGGTCGAGCCGCCGTCGACTTCTCAAACCGAGCAAGAACGGAATCTACAAACGAGCATCAAGTATCAGATACCAGCATGAGGATAAAATAGTGAAAACACGAAAATCACTTACGAGGATCGTCGAGACGAGGAAGACTCTCGTCGACAACGAGACCAACGTGGTTAAGGAGGGATAACTCCTTGATCAACGGGCGAGCCATGTAGGTGTGTTTATTAAGCTCGGTCAACATCGACTCGAATTTGGGGCACCGGGGCCGTTTATTTTGTTGGACCTTGGAAGTAATCCAAGTGTTCGGGTATGGATATTGACCGGAAGCAGGCCGAATAAAAACAAACTTCGACTTCCACTTAGTGACGTTTGAGGAAAGGTCGTCAAGAAAAGTGACGCCGGCGCGACGACCCAAGCAATGGGCGTCTTTTATGAATCGGTAGCTATAACAGTGAAAAAGAAACTCCGGAGAGAAATATCTAAGTTTTATTCTAGAAACTACAATAAAAGCGATCATGATGCGAATCGCATTAGGAGAAAATTGATTTATGGGTACATCGTAAAGATCACTAATAGCGCGAAGTTCGGGTTGAATAGGAAAACGAAGACCGAACAGCACTTGGTCGATAAAGAAGGTATAAAAACCAGGTGGAGGATTAGCATAATCGTCAGTCGGTTTGGGAACGGCCAATTCCCAGTCGGCAGGAAGACCGCTGTACACTCTAAAGCCCTCGACCTCGGCTGCAGAGGCATAACAAAACGGATTTAAGACAGCTAATTTAGCTAAAGGACATGCTTTTGAAACAACATCTCGAGCCTCGAGAAGAGGAACGATTATGGGTAAAGAAGAAGGACTTGTCCTATATACAGGAAAATCTAAGATCCTAAGGGAAATACCTCGGGGAATGAGGTCGAGACGAGGAGACTCTTTGGCTTGGGAAGACTCGGGGTTTTCAGCCAAGACCCCCGACATCCACGCTTGCCTGTAAGCATCCTGGTCGATACCAAAGGAAGATACATCCGAATGGGAATTCGATGATTGATCGGCCGGTTTGAAACCAACTATTTGAACAGAATCGGACGATTGAGGACCGGCGTCGATCAAGCGCTCAATGGTATCGGGCGAAGAACCAGTGTCAGAATCTAGAAAAACGAGAAGAGTCGGGATCAGTTAAGGAGAATTTAGTGCGAGACGAGGAAGGGCATAATCAACAAAGAATAAATCGACTTATAATCACGGGACAATGGTGTCGAAACAAGGAGTCGTGACAGTACATCGGGAAGGGAAGGTCTAGAAGAACCAAATTCGAAACCAATCTAAGAAAGCGCGAGTCGACTTGGAATCAGAAGTCGACGGGAGGCAAGGGTGAAATAAACAGGAAATCTAAAGGGAAGCTCAAGCAAAAGAGATCTAACATAGCTTGTGCAGAGCCATTCGAAGAACACCAAGAACACCAATTTTAAAAAAACCAGAAAAACCCAGAAAGTATACAACNAAAAAAAAAAAAGGAGAAAGAAGAGCAGCAGAAGTTAAAGAAATTAAGACACTTACACATGATTGTTGCCGGAGAAACCCTGAAGATCTGTAGTCGCCGAAGTCAGGGGAGCGCCGAAAAGCAGGAAGCACGGAAAGCACCGGAGAGATTGGAGAGAGCTCAGAAAACAAGTGTGGAAAAGTGATATTTCGAAGGAAGGAGAAATATTTATAAAGAGGGTGAATGATTACCAGCCGTTAGATCATGATCTGATCTGACGGTCCCTAGGAAAGCGCGGAAGGCGAGGCGGCGGACTTGAAGTGATGTGATAACTACAAATTTGAAATTCGAAATTTGAAAAGGTGTCAGGTTGTCAGAATTATCCAGAAGACAATGATGAGACCCCTACGGTATCGAACAGCCACAAGGGTAGAGCTTTGATGTCGAGGAACAGAGAACGAGTATAGTTAATAAAAGAAGTCGATTACCAAATTTACTCTTAAACAGTCGACTGTTTAGAGTAACTTTCGGGGGGGACTAGATGATATAGTCATATAAGGATAACCCGGTCTAAGTAGACGTGGCCAGGTGCTGGGTCCGGGCCCGGCCCGGCCCGGCCCGCCGGGTCCACGGTCCACATGGACGAGGCCCGGACCCGGACCGAAAAAAGTGACGGTCCGGGACCGGTTCGGGCCCGGACCCGCCGGTTCNCGGGCCACGGGCCGGTTCGGCCCGTGGCCATGTCTAGGTCTAAGAGGCTTTCTACTCGACCGGTGAGCCATTTGAACGACTCACATATCGAGGTGACTCGTCGACATGCTCAAGTCGACTTCCCTAAAGTCGATTATACCGAAAATAATCAAGAAGAGGCAGAAATTGGTCTAGTCGACTCCCACAAGTCGACCTTTAACTATCGACTTTTGCTAGTCTACTTCATACTAGAAGGACGTCACGAATGCAACTCCCAACCATCCAGATACTCTAGGTCGACTTCCACTAGTCGACTTCCTCATGACGACTCTAAGAGACGACCACCGCAGGGAATTAAACCAGGTGTAGCCTCCGAAACCGCACATATTTGTAAGTCGACCTCCTAGTTCTCGAGGTCGATTCTGTACATCTCGAGGATCACAGTGGCGAAGACGATTCACCGCACTTGCAACATATCCAAAGCTCTACACATTACCAAGGATAAGAAGGAATCTTGCGATGACTCAGCAACAAGGGGAGACGAATCGACCAGGGCATTATGGACTTTCTAGGTCCACCGACTGGGGCATTTTGGGCATTTCAAGTAAGTATTCCCTCCTATATAAAGGAGATGAGGTAACCCAAAACCCTAACTCTCATTCATTCCCACTCTACCCCATAGCTGCTGCGCAGCACCTCTTCATCACTCTCATACTGACTTGAGCGTCGGAGGCTCTACGCCGGAAACACCTCCGGCGTTGAGTATTTGCAGGAATCTCGCGGTCTAGCAACGGTTGGGAAGCGGTTCAAGCAGATCTGAGCTCACAACAACCGGTTTACTCCAGATCTGGAAGTAGACCCATCAGAGGGTGATATAGATTCTGAGTTTTTAAAAACTTGATGATGCACATTTCGATATTTATAGTTATAATAAATATATTTATATATGAAATGAGTGTTTTGACTTAATTTACAAGTTTATTATTTAACATTTAAAATCGGACCCCAAGAAATTCTTAGATCCGTCACTGTCCAGAATAGCATGCGCTCCACCGCAGCCTCCACGGCAACCTCCACGGCTCACCACAAAGGAACTTCGCCGCCTCCACCTCAGCCGCCACGTCTCTCGCCCGGCTCTCATCTCTTGCCTCTCGCCCGACGCTCGTCTCTCCTCTCGCCTCTCGCCCGACGCTCGTCTCTCCTCTCGCCTCTCGCCCCGGGGCTATTTCAGCCTTTCAGGTATCTTCAATTCAATCTCCGGCCCTCTGAGAACATGTTGATTTTGTGGCTTAAATGAACTGAATCTCGATTTTGAGGTTGTGACTGAAATTTGTGGCTAAAAAATATGAATTTCAGGCTGAAAATATGTTAATTTCGAGGCATTTGAAGCTGAAATTTGGGAATTTGTGATTGTGATATCTGTCTGAGGTTGTAAGGTTGTGAATTCAGGGTTTAGTTTGTGAATTTGCTAAAATTTGTTGTTGAGACTGAATTCAGGGCATGTTCTTCATTCTCTTATTCAGGGCCTCTTAATTTGTTCATGCTAATGTTGCAGCCCAATATGAATTATTAGACAAGTTTAAGTGTTGAGAAGTTTTGAGTTAAATATATGTTGTTTTGGTTGTTATAACTTGTGAATTTTGGCATGTTTTGTTCGAAGTCTTGGGCTGAAACTTTTAGTGGCTTCATATGCCGAGAGTACATGGTATTTTTGTGCTAAAGTTTAAGCTGAAAAAAAAAAGCTTGTTTGAGTTTAGTTAAAATTGAGAAAAGTGGTTTTGGTTTTAGGTATTGGCGTATTGCATTGCCTTGCTTGATTCAGAGTTTAAGAGGATGCTTGGATACAAAACTTATCCAAAAAATCCAAACATTTTTAACTCAACCACTTTTTTTAACTCAACTTTAACTCAACCCAATTAATATTAATATTATTAATATAATTAAATAATATCAACCAATCATTCTTACACATCACATCAACCTTAATTCACTATTCATCCTCTCACATAATTTAACTAACCATCACTTCAAATCATTTCTCTCATACTTCTAAATTAAATCAATTTTAATTATTTTATTTAAAATATTATTTTAATATACCACTAACAACTAACCATACCACCTTTTTCAAAATTAACCAAACCAAACCAAAAAAATCCAAACAAATCCAAAAATTTTTATATCCAAGCATCTTCTAAGGGTCTGTTCTTCAATTTGTGATTGCTTGATTCAGAGTTTAGTTTATGTGAAAATTACACTTACTAAAATTATTCTTGAGCTTGTTGATTATTTATCAAATAACTAGTATGTGGCCCGTGCGATGCACGGATAAATAATATTAAATAATAATTATAAATTGAAGATATAGGTAAATAATATGTATTCGTTTAGGAATTTGAGTGCCACTTTGAAATTTTTTAAGATTTGAGACTTTTAAGATGGTCAAATTTTAGAGGAATACTATGTGTGATTTGTGAATGTGAGATTTTTAGAGTGAAATTTTGTATAATGTTTTTTTCTTTTAAATCATAATAAATCTTAAAAAGACCTAACAAACCTTGATCTCAAATAAGTTAAATATTTAAGGATATTTTAAAATGTTTTTAATTTTTAAATATCAAAGATGAACCGTTTTGTTACCAAAAAATGTGGACACAATTTTGAATGTACATCCCGTCCAAATATCAGTTTTATTCTAAAATAAAAATTGCACGTGGTTTTATCCAATTTACACACTTTTTTTTAAAGAAAAAATTATTCAATAAGATTGGAAGAATTGGTTAAGAATTATACAACTATTTGTTTCCAAAATTTGTATCCAATTTGTACGGTTTTAAGTTAATTGTATTTAGAATTGTTTTCATAAATAATTGACACATTTTTTGCATAAGAATCTCCAAACTTCAAACTTGTTACCAAAAAATATATGATTTAAATTTTGGTAAAAAAAAAATAAAATATGATACAAAAAAAATGGGATTCAAATTTTGCCATAAGAATCTCCAAATTAGTTACCAAAAAAAAGGATTCAGATTTTGTTACTAAAGATTCACATGTATTTTTTTAAACTTTCCATTAATAGTAAGTCAAGCATTATATTTATTTGGTCAAACTTTTTATTAATGTATTTTTCCAACAACCTCTTTATATATATATATATATATATATATATATATATATATATATATATAGATATAGATATAGATATGCAGCCTCTGTTCAATTTTGTTACAATAGCTGGGTTGTTTTATGTTGTGATTACTGTTCTTGTTGTGATTTGTGAAAAAGCATGATTTTGTGTTACTATTTTTTTCCCGTTTTCAGTTTAAATGACGACAAATAGAGATATCAGCTGGAAATATGTTATTAAAGTAAACGGGGAGAGAGAAAAGCATTGAATGCAAATTTTGCCATCACAGATCAAATGGGGGCATTACTCGTCTAAAAGAACATTTAGCACAAACTCAGAAAGGTGTTGCACCTTGTGATAAGGTTCCAGTTGAGGTGAGCAAGGAAATTAGAGACAATCTTCAAACTTTCAAGACTCTCAAAAGCAAGAGGAATGAATTGCTACGTGAAATTGACGAGGGTCCAACTGGTAGTAGATTGTCTCAATCTATTTCTGATAGTGGAAATCTCCCACTTTGATAGTATTGACGATGATAGCCAAATTTAATTGGATGAGACCAATTATTTTTAAATTTTGATATAAAATTTATGACTTTGGGTTGTCTGTATGAACTTAATATTTTGAATATTTGAATGTTGTTTTTCAGATTTAATGTTTAAATTTATGGTTTATGACTATTTCAATTATATATTTACTTGTATGCTTATATATATTATTATTTTTTACATTAAAAGTGAACTGCTCGAATAGCTTACGCTATTTACGCTACGCAATATAAGGATTAAAACGGGAAGGGACGCGCGTTTTAAAACACTGCACATAACAAACGACCTTTCTAAGTATATTTGTGGATGACACGTGGGACAGTTAGTGCAGCTACTGAATCCTATGGCTATGCTTTCACGATAAATGATGAACTAATCAAGCAAAGATTGGGAGGCAATTGAAAAAACGCCAAGATACAATTGCAGTTTTATTCTCATAATACCTTGATATTACGCAAAAGTAGTCTATTAGACAATTAGTACTACCCACTGTTGCAATTTTACCATCTTCAGCCAGAAATTCAAGTTTACAAAGTATCTAAAGCAACATAGATTCCGAATTCCTTTTCACTTCTCCCGCTCGGGGGCGTTTGCGGTATTCAGCACAAGATGCACTAATGGTGGGGAAGTAGGGTGCCTTACGGCCAAGGGACTCCCTGGATACACCAAATCCTCAGTAGTACTCTCTGCACCAACAATTGCACCTTCCGAAGTAACTGCCTCAATAGATCTGGTCTTAATCGCTGCCTTTCCCTTGGCTCTTTTCCGATTAATCGACGCTGCGGTGCTGCCCCGACTCCCTGGATTCACCAAACGCTCTGTGGTACTCTCTGCAGCAGTATTTGTACCACCCGAAATAACAGAGTCTCCACCTCTTCTCTTAGTCGGCTTCTTCCTTCTTTTCACGGCAGATTCAGGCACGGCGGCGCCCTGGGTCAGCAGAGAGGTGATGTGGCACTCCTGCCAGTTCAGGTCTTTGAGGTCCTTGATAACCTCCTTCAGCGTTAAGCGTGTGTCCCCTGACAAGCCGCCGTCCAGCAACGTCGAGCGGCGGAGATCCATCAGATCTATCGTCGATATCATATCGACCATTACAGCCTGAAATTAAACAGATTTCTATGAGAAGCAGCCAACGATACCAACACATGAGCAATAAAACTGGAGAGAGAGAGAGAGAGAGAGCATTAATAACGAAGTTGAAAGCAAATAATTGCAGAGGTCAATTCGCCTTCGGGAATTTCCGCTTTTTGAAGCCGTGAATCGAGGCGATCTGCGACAGAGAAAAAACAAAAAGAAAAAAAAAAAATAAGACGAAGGATTCAGCACTGGAATTTCAAAGCATTCACAAAACCACTGTTCTCAACGGAACGAAGCACGCAACAAAAATCGAAGATCTTAAATTACAATTGGTTGGATGAAGAAATTATACAAGCGGGTAAATGATGCAGAAAATAGCTCTTAAAACGACGGAATTACAACAGCACTGTGTGCTCGAGTGTGGGGGAAAGTGAAGAGAGAGAGAGGTTTAACCTGAGCGAGCTTGGAGACTGTAAGATCGAGAGTGCGGTCTTCAGTGAAACCGAGATAATCTTCCAGGGAAAGCTTCTTGCGCCTCTTCGCAATGGTAGTGGATCCTTCTCCGTCGATCGCCATAGCTTAGATTTCTCTCTCTCTCTCTCTCTCTGTCTGTCTCTCTTCCTCTCCCTCTAGCCGTATGTGAGAGTGTGACAAAAAGCGTGCGTCTCGAGACTGCAGAGCTGCCGCCACTATATATACGTGACGAAAATCAGAGAAGGCTCGCTAGTGGTTGAGCGGGAAAAATCCAGCCTGGAAAAAAAAAAAAGTAAATAAAATGGAAAATGAAAACTAAAAATAAAAAATAAAAATGAGAAGGAAATGGGTTCAGATTCTTCAGAATACGATGCAGTGTTATTTGTTAGTTGTTGAGAATTATTATAAGTAATTCTTTCATTAGTGATAGATGCAAAGTAATTTTATTGTGTCGTCTGATATATTAGAAGTCTAAACCCAGACTTCCTAGTTAAGTTCCTTTATTTTTGGTGTTTTTCATTGTGTGTCATAATTAGGAGTGATTTTACATATATCTTTAACTCATTAAGGTTTATAAGTATGGGTCAAACTCTTCATTATTGCGGTGTAGTTGATTTTATCAAGGTTATGAAAATTGGACGGAATCGACCGGTTCGACCGAACTGGCCTTTGTACCAGTCCGGTTCATAAGATAAAACTAGTCATCGAAATAACTGGTGAAGAACCGATGCAAAACCGGTCGAACCGGTTTCGGCGGTTTAGCCGTTCAGACCAAGCTACCTCATTTTGATTTATTTTTATTACGCAATGGAAATTTAAAATCTATAAAGGAAAGACAAAGCTTGATCTAGTTTTCATTGTTCCAGCAAATCGTCGGAGTCAGCTACCAAAGCTCTTCCAAAAACAAAGCTTCGCGCGATGCGTATTTTCCGGTGATCTGTGACTCTAAGGTTCTGCTCTTTCGCCGGAGTCACAGTCTGGTCCGCCGCTTCCACTGTTGAATGGCAGCTATCACTATAAAAGATGAGCATGAGCTGGGGACTTAGCATTTATCTTGAGGGTTTTATTTTGGGATTTTACTTTCCTAACAATTGGACTATGAATTTTTTATTTATTGAAACTTGGGCTTTGATAGTTTGTCCTTATATTATCTGATAATTGTCATTTTAGTATTTAAAAGATGAAGAAAACTAAAATCTATGTAGTCTCTTACTTAATATAAAGCACTTCTAGCACTGTAGCAATTTATATTTTTTTATTGTTTGGCTACCTCTCCATTTGACATGTTAGGCTTTAGAGAATGTAGTGTCTTTTATGCCCTTGATCTTAAGTATAATTCCAATCGTGTCCCTAGATATTTTAATGAGAAACGAATGCTATCTGCCTATCTTCCACTCATTTGTCCCTCTTTCTCTCTCTTCACACTCAGCGGGCGATGAGAAATTAATCAATTATCACGAGGAACACAATTTACTGGTTTCAACTCCTTCTAGATTTCCGCCGATGATAGATCGACCATGCTCCGTTGCATAAGGGAGGAGTTGTTGTACTGCCGGGGTTTCGACAACTATAGGTAGAGTTTTTTCTCATCACTTATCTGTTTGCTCAATTTATCCCCATGTTGCAGTAGAGCAATTTTGGCATAGCAACTATTGAGATCCTTGTCTTGCTTTCCAGCATGAATGTCAGAGTTGATGAGCTTCTCATTCAATTCAACGGTCAGAACTCTCATTTTCTGAAGCTCACTGACATACGTCATATTTACGTGCATTTTATAGTGATTTTCGTGTCCGTTTTGTCGTAGTTTTTTATATATTATTATTTATTTAATTAATTTTATTAAACTATGACGAATGTGTTTTATCTTGTGAATTTATAGAAAATAGGGTCGAAATATTTATTGATAGCGAAAACGGAGAGAATCAGTCGAAGACGGTGTACAAGCTATGTTTGAAAGATGCCCAAGTTGCAGCCACATGTCCATTTATAGGTCCAATTACACACTCCATCAACTATTAAAGTCCATCAGCTTTAATACAAATAATTGGCCCAATTGGAATTTGTTGGTAAATGGGCTGGCCCATGAGTCACTTAATGAGGGATAGATAGGTCATTTCCATGGCTTCTTCTTCACAATGTCTTCACTCACGTACATCCCCCATTGTTGAGTTTTGAGCTGCTCGACAAGCTGTCCACTCGCCACTACGTCGTCGGCGAATCACCTGGACTCCATTTCCACCCATTCTCGACGTCCTGACCACCAAGACACTCCTCCGCCATGCTGTCGCCGCCCGCCGGAGAAGAAGCTGCTGCCATGATGCCGGAAGCCGCCGGAACTCGCCATGTCCGATGACCTGGGCGCTGCAAGATCACCGGAAGTCGCCTGAGACGCCGGAAAACCGACCAAGAGCATTTAGACGAGCTGAAAGTGACGATTTGGAGCTGTTTTTGGTGCCCTGGTACACACGGGTCGTGTGAGCCCAAGACACGGCTCGTGTCACTCCGACGGGTCGTGAATTCAGCTCTCGACTTTGTCACACGACTCGTGTGGCTTATGACACGAGTCGTGTGACCCTGGGCGCGACTTGAACGGGTTTGACGCGTTTTTCCTATTTTTTCGGTATTTTCGACCTATTTCGACTAGGACTCGACCCCAACTATTTAAGAGGCACTTGGACACGTTTTTGGGGAGTCTTGGACATATTTTGGAGACTTTTGGAGGCTAGAAACACGAGCAAGACGAGGGAGAAAGCCGGGAAGAAGGGATCGACGGAGCCGAATAAGCTTTTTCTTTCTTTTTCTTTTCCTCTTTCGAACTCAATGTTTTATATCTATTTTTATTATTTTGAAATCATGTTTCTAGGCTAGATTTATATTAGATTCTAGGATTGGTTAGTACTCGGATTAATTTATGATTAAGTTTTTATTTCTTTCATTCCGGTTTATCTTTCGTTTATGAATTTCTTGTGCTTATTTTTATTGTGTGAGTAGATGGCCACTATGAATGCATATTTGTAATCGATTTGAGACTGAGAGGAGATAATTGATTGCTAGAATTGGGAAATTTATAACGTAAGAGAATAAACAGACCGAGAGGTTGATAGAACCTTGCGAGAGAACGAAAATCCTAGGAACTTATGGGAGTTAGTTGTTCATCTTGAGACCGAGAGGAGATAGATAACAATTAATATCTACGATTTGACTTGTTCGAGAGAAAGGTTTGAAATCAATTTAGCGATTATCTCTACGATTGGTAAAATTAAATAAGGTTTGTTTGAATATAAACGTTTTATGAATTAATTCCGAGGAACGCTTAGCCTATAATCTACCTTTTGTTTCTTTGTTTATTTTTATTTTTATTTTTAGTTAGATTAGTTCTTAGTTTAACTTCTTAGTTAATAATCATCATCCAATTCATTAGTCTAGATAATATTTAGTTGTCATTATTTAGTACTTAATTAATTTAACTACAATCTCTGTGGAATACGACCTTGCTCGCCACTACCTATAGCTACGTCGTACACTTGCGGATAGTGAAAATAATAAGCGAACACTCACTCCTGAGATAAGTGATCTCCTTTTCACGTTCTGCTGACCGGTGTTCCAACAACTTCATCTTCTCTGTCTGGACTTGATACTTCTTGATGACTTTGGCAGCTTTTACACACTTCTCTATGGCATACTTGTGAAGCACGAGGTTCTCTTCAGTTGGATCGGAGAGCTCCTCAGTTTCGAAGTCGCGTAGTTCTTTAGCATAAGAACCTGCATCAGATTCAACATCAGTAAGATGCACAGAGGATGTAAAACATTTATACTCATTAAGAAGACATTTAGCATGATTATTGGTATAGTAAAAGTTTTCAGTCTTCTTAGATTCTTCATCCTCATCATCACTGCAGTCGGACCACGTTGCCTTGTAAGTCTTGTTCATCCTCTTGAAGTTTGGGCATTCCTTCTGAAAGTGACCGAACCCTTTGCATTCCCAACATTGATATTTCTCCACTCCTTGATTAGCGTTCTGAAACTTGTTCAGTTGCACATTGGAACGCTGCTCACCAAATTGCTGAATCATATTCTTACCACCTTCAGAGGGCTTGATCCCTTGAAACCTTTTCTTCTGAAACTTCTTCAGCTTTGAGACATTTTTTGTAAGAACAGTGAGAGCCTCCATAATCTCATCAACATCAAAGGATTCTTCATCCGAATCATCCTCTTGTATTACCGCTGTATGAACCTTGGCTTTTAGAGCTAAGCTCTTTCCTTTGGCTCCCTTCATCGAGTCAAATCCATGGTTTATTTCAAAAGTACGTAGGTCTCCAAGAAGATCATCAATCCCAAGTGGTTGAACTCTCCGGAAACTCTCCAAAGCCGTGATCTTAATTCCAAACCTATCCGGTAAGGTTCTCATCAACTTCTGCACTTGTCTCGCCTCTGATATCTCTTCACCAAGCATTGCACTTTGGTTTATAAGGTCACAAAAGCGAGCATAGTACATGTCTATGGTTCATCATCTCTCATCCGGATCTCATCAAGTTCAGTCGTGATCCTCTG